CATGAGGGGCGTTAAAGGGTTAACTGTGTGCTGTTTCACAGTAAGCTCTGTGTGTGTGCTTCACTGTAATCATGTAGAATGTACGCAAACATTTCTCTAAAAATCTGGAGAATTTAATTTTTCGCTTACAGCTTTCAAAGTTTGTAAAAGACCCCAAAACCATATATTTTCTGAAAGCACATGACCAGTAGAATAAAAAGATTGTGTTACTGATTTTTAGGCACTACATTAGTTGCGCAAATGTTTAGCAAATCACTATTTTCACTAAAAAACCACTAAAATCCTTATTTGCACTCTAAACCACAAAATAACTTATAAAATTCCTACTAAGCCCTCACTCAGTGGGCTATGCTAAAGAGTAGGTCCATGGAGGGCCATATTTATCTGCACGGAGATGCATAGGTGTTCTGTGCATCCCTGTGCAGGAAGTCCTATTCATGTCAACTGGGACGCAGCAGCTGCAAGGACAGATTTGACATCCATGCGAGTGTAGGTCCATGGCAACAAACACAGACAGTGTGAGTTCAGGGACATACACCCACATGGATGTCAAGTTGGGAGCAGTGGCTGCCTTTATGCAGCCACTGCATTCCAATTGACATCAACTGCCTGCATGGGGATGCACAGAAAGCCTGTGCATCCCTGTGCAGCTAAACATGATCTCACTGTAGTATGCCCAACGTGAACGAGGTCTTTGGCCTTGTTTAGACTTGCGGCTGGGGGTGGCAAAAATGTGTGGTTGAGCTGCGTTTTTCCTGCCTGGCAAACGACCCTCCCCCCTTGAGTTGCAATAAGCAGTGGACAGGGTGATGATGCCGTCATGCTTCAGACAGAAGCAAGGGAGATTTAGTCGCGTGTGGCACCCCCACAGCCTCAAAAAGACCATTTGGTTTCCCTGTGGATACGTTTTGGAAAATGAAAGGGCTGCCATGCTTGCGCAAAAGCGGGTCACCTGGCCCGCACTAGTGTGAACCCAGCTTTACTGGGGTTTTTTTTACAGTTTAATTTTTTTATAAATTAAATACAATTTTAAAAAATATTTTAAAATATTTAAAAAAAAAACATTTTTTTTGGGGGGGAGGGGGTTGGGCTTTGGAGAGACATCAGTGATCTAAACAGACCTCTAATGTCTCTTTTTTGAGACAGAGAAAGGGGCTGAAGACAGTCCCTTTCTCTATAGCCTCCTTTCATTCATAAATTGAGACATAGTCTTTACTATGTTTCATTCACAAGCTGACAGATAGTAAACACAATTTACTGTCAGTGATTAATGAATACAAAAGCAATCTGTACTGCTCGCTATCTGTATTCATTTAGGAAAGGAAGGGGGCTGGTAAACACTTTTACCAGCCTTCCAGCTCTCAGGAAATGAAGGCCCCTCCCCTCCAAGCTGACAGCGATCTGTCAGCGGCTGCAGCTTGCGGGAGAAGAAGGAAGGAGAGCCGGCTAGAAGCAGGGAGGGGGACCAAGACACAGGAGAGGTGGGGAGCACTAAAGGGGGGGGGGGTTAGAACAACAGGTGGGGCATCTGGTCTCTCACATGGATTGCTCTGTGGCTGCTCTGCAGCGCTTAAAGTCGGCAGGAGAGGTAGAGGCAGGAAATCGACAGCTGCAGGGCAGCCACAGAGGGATCTGTAAGCCGTGCGGACCTGGCAGTGAAAGGGTTAAACATCTTCTAACTGTTCCAAGAACCTGTGTTTGTATTGTGTAGAAAAGCAGTCCCCACCATAGTTACGCAGTGGTTTGCCAGTGTGAATAACACACAAGGCATGGAGCAGCTTACTTCTGCCCTATGGGATAAACCTAGCGAACATAGGGCTAGATGGTTCTAGCGGGATCAATTTCAACTGTCTGGTAAGAACTTACAATACTGAATAGCTCTCTTTCATATTTAACACCTCTATGTCAAAAGATGTGCCTTCAGCCACCCTCTCTTTTACCTTTCCCTCCTTACATATTTGTCCTCCCTTCATTTCTTTTTTTGCCTTTACTCCTATTCTTCTACTTTTTTTCTTCTGCCTGCACCTTTAAAACTACTGAAAATCTGGAGAGTACCAGACTCCTTTACTTGACTGACAGGATATCTCTTCCAAGGGATGCAGTATTGACTATTTCTTTTTAAGAAATGTTGTTCTGATCTTCAAAAATTATACAGGTAGAGACAGGAAGCTGTGAGGGCAAGGACACCATGTTGTTCAGATTCCGCCATGATAGTTTGTAGCACAAGTTAGTGAATAGGAGCAGTGGTTCCTTTCTCCTCATCCCTGCAGGACACCTCTGGTGTAATACACAATTGTTAACCGATGCCAGAGCCTTCTTATCAGACCAGGACAGATACAGGACCTGTCATGCCTATTAGCCCAATCCCCCATTCCAGTCTGAAAACGCTAATAAAACTGTCACCCTCGGGAGCTTAAGCAATCCAGAGACCTAACAGACCTTAGTACAGAATAAATGTTTCTGATAGACGGCTTATCAACCAAGATTCTAAAACTTCAGCATGTTTTAAAACTTCTGAAATGATGACAGTATAGCCAGAATGAAGTCATATTCACCTTTATCAGTTATTGGGTAGCAATTTGGACCCAAACATCCCTATACAAGGAGGTACCAGAGTGGATTAGGCCTCCAAACCCTCCTACGAGAAATGGATATCCGAGACCTGCCATATTTATTTCCATTTTGAGGCTAATTTCATGCAATAAACTGCATGCTAGTATTCAGAAATATGAACACTTATGAGAAACTGTATTTGGGACTTGGTCATAAATGTGGTAACCTCCCAGCACCCACCCCTTAAACTGGATTATTGGTCAGATGGTCTCTGTCAACACACCCTTGATATCAGGTAAAAAAAGAGGTTGCAAGCAGATTTGATAGCTCTCGTATTAACATCAACCAAGCAACATCTAACCAGACTTAAGAGAGCCACTGCACCGTTTTTGCTTGAACAATTGAATTCTGCTGAAACCAAGGACTTTGCAAGTATTCTTCCATTTTCAACTTCTTTTTAATTCTCTGTTGCATTTGTCACACTGTGGTCATCCAACTTATCCGCAGTACGGAAGCTTATTCAAAACAGTACATCCCAAATAAAATGAAGGTAAGGGGGTGAGCAGGTGAGTGGGAAAGGTTAGCCGGAGGGGAGGGTGGGCACTGGGGGGCAGGCTTCCTGGGGAGCCTGGGTTTGAAGCAGCATAACTGCTTAAGGTAAGAAGAACTTTTTGTAGTATTTTATTATGGGTCAGAAAGTGCTTCAAACCCCGAAGGAAAGTAATTATCTATCTATATGTCAGGAATCAGCAGCAGAGATGGCAAGATCTACTTAGCTACACTAGGAAACTGAGACCATATAGTAAAGTAAATTTATGAAAAGTAAAACAAAAGATATCGAAACACCAGCAAACAAGAAACATAAAGATATACTGTAAGTAAACCACAACCATATAACCAAAATGCCTAACTAAATACAGTAATACCTCGGTTTACGAATTTAATTCGTTCTAGAGGACTTTTCACATAGCGAAAAATTCATAAGCCGAAACGCAGTTTCCCATAGGAATGCATTGAAAACCAATTAATCCGTTCCGGAGATCAAAAAAAAGTAAACACTACTAAAATACCGCATAAGTTATTTTATCAAGTCATGCGGTATTTTAGTAGCGACAACCATGAGTTAATGTTTCAGCTGTCAGCGGGCTTCCCCCTGACAGCTGAATGTAATAGAATTGCCAGCAATTAAAAAAATACTTTAAAAATAATGGCTTGGGGTCCCCCCTCCCATCCATACCAAGCTCTTTGGGTCTGGTATGGATTTTGAGGCGAAATCCCACATGCCCTCAACATGGGGGGGTGCTTTGGGGCAGGGGAGGCCCCCCCCAAAGCACCTTGTCCCCATGTTGATGGGGACAAAGGCCTCTTCCCCACAACCCTAGCCGGTGGTTGTGGGGGTCTGCTGGCAGGGTGCTTAATGGAATCTGGAAGCCCAGTTTAACAAGGGGGCCCCCAGATCCCCCCCCCCCATGTTGAGGACTTGTGGCCTGGCATGGTTCAGGAGGCACTCCCTTGCCGCCCCCCCCTCTTTCCTGACCTGCCGGCTGCATGCTCGGATAAGGGTCTAGTATGGATTTTGGGGGGAACCCCCCCACACCATTTTCTTTTTAATTTTGGCGTGGGAGTTCCCCTTAAAATCCATACCAGACCAGAAGGGCTTGGTATGGATGGGAGGTGGGACACCACGCTGTTTGTTTATTTATTACGGTGCAGGTTTTTAAATGCAATTACCGCTTTTTTTTTTTTCCACTATAGCTCAGAAATTCAGCTGTCGCTTTCCCCCCAGCTAAAAGAAAGTTTTCTTTTAGTTTATTTCCCTGAGTTAAGAGAAACAATGTTTCCTCTTAGTTTCTTAAAAGAAACAAAGTTTCCATTAACTCCGGGGAAAGTGACAGCTAATTCTGTGAGCTATAATGAAGAAAAAAAAAAAAAAAGCTGGTAATTGCATTTAAAAATCAGCACTAACATACACGTGTAAAAAAAAAAATAGTAAACCGAGGCATTATTTTTAATGGATTTTCATTCGTAAACCAAAAATTACGTTAACCGAGGCGTTGGTAAACCAAGGTATTACTGTAACAGGATAAACAGAGAAAAATGGCAATGCAGGGAACAGATGGGAAGGGGAAACCAGGACTGCATACAGGTACAAGGGGAGCAGAGATAGGGCAGCAGGGTGCAGGGTACAGGATGCAGAACAAGAGAAAGATCAGGAACAGGATAAATGACAAGCAGCATCTGACTAGCAAAGCAAAGGAAAACACAGACGTGAAGTGTACTAGCAGAGGCAAGAGTAAATACCTTCCCAGCCGCCAGCAATAGGTGGAGACTGATTACTAGAAACTGCTGGGAAACATCTGCTGGTGAACACCAGAACTACAACCTCCCACTCTGGGAAGCACAATGCCACCAGTAGGTTATCCACATCCTGACACAATGGTTGCCAGACTCTGATATACTGTACACTATATTTCCAAAAGTATTGGAAAACCCCTCCAAATCACTGGATTCAGGTGTTCCAATCACCTCCATGGCCACAAGTGTATAAAAGCAAGCCGCTAGGCATGCAGACTGCTTCTACAAACATTTGTGACAGAACGGGTTGCTCTCAGGAGCACAGTGAATGCAAGCGTGGTACCGTGATAGGTTGCCACCTGTGCAATAAGTCCATCCGTGAAATTTCTAAATAGTCCACGGTCCATTGTTACCAGTATTATAACAAAGTGGAAGCAACTGGGAACAACAGCAGCTCAGCCACGAAGTGGTAAGCCATGTACAGTGTGGGACAAGCGCATGCACAGTGCGCAGAAGTCACCAACTGTCTGCAGAGTCAATAGCTAAAGACCTCCAAACTTTATGTGGCCTTCAGATTAGCACAACATCTGTCAGGGATCCTGCAGCGGTAGCCTCTAGCACTCCACAGACCGGAATCCCCCAATTCGCAGAATCTAACCTCCGACCTGCTTGTTCACCAGAGCCCCTGATGGTGGGGATGGACTTGGAGCAGGCCGAGACCAGGTCGTGGCCCCTGGGTTCACCCAGCTGTGGTAGAGGCACCGCTGAAGGTGTATAGCGGGTAAGAGTCTGATGTGAGGAGGTAACTGAAGCAGCGTCGGGCAGGCCGGGTCGGTAACAGTGGTGGCGGTGTAGTACAGAATCAGCTAGCAGAGGGATAAACAGGTCACAAGCCGGGTTCGTCAACAGGAGGTCAGAACGTATGGGGTTAAGCAGGAGAATCGTCAGACAAAGCCAGGGATCAGAGCAGGAGACGGACAGCAAATCAGGATCAGGCAGGGTTGGCAACAAACAAACAATCTACTCACAGGAACTCAGGAACACAGATAAGACCATACGGCACTTGAGCATTGCAAGAGCCGGGTTTAAATAGCCCGCCCCGACTCCTGACAGACGCTCCTGGGTCCTAGTGCTTGCCCAGCGCTGTCATTTGTGACAGGCGCGCCTGGGTCCTAGTGCCCGCCTGCCTGTACGTTTTGTCAGGATTCTACGCATGTGCAGATTCAATCGCTGCGGCGATCTTCCCATTCCCTGACATCCCCCCCCCTTATGGGCAGCCTCCGGATGCCCACCCGATTCCTCCTTTGAGGCTGGTTACGTAGGAATTCCCGCATTAATCTGGGGGCATGGACGTTTTGGGCAGGTTCCCACGAGTTTTCCTCCAGCCCATAGCCTTTCCACTTAATTAAATATTGTACCTGACCACCCCTCCTCCTAGCCGGGTTCATCAACAGGAGGTCAGAACGTATGGGGTTAAGCAGGAGAATTGTCAGACAAAGCCAGGGATCAGAGCAGGAGACGGACAGCAAATCAGGATCAGGCAGGGTCGGCAACAAACAATCTACTCACAGGAACTCAGGAGACAGATAAGACCATAAGGCACTTGAGCATTGCAAGAGCCGGGTTTAAATAGCCCGCCCGACTCCTGACAAGCGCTCCTGGGTCCTAGTGCTTGCCCAGCGCCGTCATTTGTGACAGGCGCGCCTGGGTCCTAGTGCCTGCCTGCCTGTACGTTTTGTCAGGATTCTACGCATGTGCAGATTCGATCACTGCGGCGATCTTCCCATTCCCTGACAACATTATTGCGTAGAGAGCTTCATGGAATGGGTTTCCATGGCCGAGCAGCTGCATCCAAGCATTACATAACCAAATGCAATGCAAAGTGTTGAATGCAGTGATGTAAAGCACACCGCCACTGGACTCTAGAGCAGTGGAGACGTGTTCTCTGGAGTGACAAATCACGTTTCTCTGTCTGGCAATCCGATGGATGGGTCTGGGTTTGGCAGTTGCCAGGAGAATGGTACTTGCCTGACTGCATTGTGCCAAGTGTAAAGTGTGGAGAAGAAGGTATTATGATGTGGAGTTGTTTTTTTAGGGGTTGGGGTTGGGTTGCGCCTTAGTTCCAGTGAAGGGAATTCTTAAGGCATCAGTATACCAAGACATTTTGGACAATTTCATGCTCCCAACTTTGTGAGAACAGTTTGGGGATGGCCCCTTCCTGTTCCAACATGACTGCACACCAGTGCAAAAAGCAATAGAACACCTTTTGGATAAATTAGAGCGGAGACAGGCCTTTTCGTCCAACATTAGTGCCTGACCTCACAAATGCGCTTCTGGAAGAATGGTCAAACATTCCCATAGACACACTCCTAAACCTTGTGGACAGCCTTCCCAGAAGAGTTGAAGCTGTTATAGCTGCAGAGGATGGGCCAACTAAATATTGAATCCTACGGACTAAGACTGGGATGCCATTAAAGTTCATGTATGTGTAAAGGCACCTCTGTCTCAATACTTTTGGCAATATAGTGTATTTGGGGATACAATCTTACAAGGTTGCATCAATTTTATAATGAATCACGGCTCTTGTGACCATGTTTTTAACTTCTGTGAGATTAAAAGTAGGGGTTTTCCATGCCGCAGCAACCGTCTGTTTCACCACTGTAGTAATTTGTAATAAGTTTAAATTGAGTGGTAGAGATGTTTGAGGGTTGCATATTGAGTATGTCAATGGTAGGATTTAAAGTGTTACTTGTGACGAGCGCGGCGTCAGACCCCCAGTGCTTTTCACCGACTTGTGACCGAAGGACTAGCCAATCTAAAACCGCGATAAAACCGTGCTGTCACTTGCGTAACAATGCCACGCTCAGATGCACAAAGATTTCCAGCTCACTGGACCACAATCTATGTGCCGCAGCCTGAGAGCAATTGTTACTGGGTCAGGTTAATTACGCAATTAACCCTTCACACTGCCACACCACCTTTTTGTACAGAGAAGGAGGAAACTCACAAATCTTAGCAGTAACACTATGATGTTTGAATAAGCGTCTGTATACACACTGTCACCCCAGGCAGATGTATGCAGAAGTTTAAAACACACAGTAGCGCTCTTCAGAGACAGGGATTCTTAGTTTGCATTAAAGAGCTTTAGAAACAGTTCAACGCTTTTCAGAAAATAGGATTTATTACTAAAAAGGTCAAAATGGTGCAATAAAAATATTTACAGAAAAAGATGTAGCCAATATATATATATATATATATATATATATATATAAATACAGAGAGCAATAACACAACAGAGAGATAACAGACAGAAATTTAGAGAGGTAGAATACTTGCCAAAATCCTTGGTTTAAGCAGATTCAAGTGTCCTGAACATAAGGGTACCGTTTCTCCCAAAGTTGGTTCCTGATGTTAAAAAGGGAGAATCTCTTCATCTTACCTCTCTCAGGCCTGACAGCCTGTTTTCTAGTCCCCCAGCAGGGGGTGTCTACTGAAGCCAAGGGCCAATCGCCTCATTTGGGGAGGGGGTTTAGGCCGAGACCCCGGCTGTGACCCAAATCCCTCCCAAATCCACACAATGGACAATAACCTTCCATAGGTACATGTAGCATCCTATCCACTGGTAGAATAATGTGCAGAATCATATTCTGAATGTCCAGACACCAGATATGATATACAGTTGTGGCCAAAATTATTCAACCCCCACTGAAATTGAGTGTTTTGGCCAGTTTGACATTGCTTTTGATCATTCAGTCATCTTGCTTTACATTTACATTAAAGAGGCACTTGTAGGTCAGACAAATATAACATAACAGTTATAATGAAATAACCACAAATGTCTTTTCTGTGCTCACAGCATTATCAGTTTTATTCAACCCCCAAGTGACATTCAATCTTAGTACTTAGTACAGCATCCTTTTACAGTTATAACAGCTTTTAAACGTGAAGCATAGCTTGACACAAGTGTCTTGCAGCGATCTACGGGTATCTTCGCCCATTCTTCATGGGCAAAGGCCTCCAGTTCAGTCACATTCTTAGGCTTGCGCACTGCAACTGCTTTCTTTAAGTCCCACCAGAGGTTCTCAATCGGATTTAAGTCTGGTGACTGCGATGGCCACTCCAAAATGTTCCAGCCTTTCCTCTGCAACCATGCTCTAGTGGACTTGGAGGTATGCTTGGGATCATTGTCCTGTTGAAAGGTCCAACGTCTCCCAAGCCTCAGGTGTGTGACGGACTGCATCACGTTTCCATCCAATATCTCCTGGTACTGAAGAGAATTCATGGTACCTTGCACACGCTGAAGCTTCCCTGTACCTGCAGAAGCAAAACAGCCCCAAAGCATGATTGACCCTCCACCATGCTTCACAGTAGGCAAGGTGTTCTTTTCATCATAGGCCTTGTTCTTCCTCCTCCAAACATAGCGTTGATCCATGGGCCCAAACAGTTCTAATTTTGTTTCATCAGTCCACAGAACACTATCCCACAACTTTTGTGGTTTGTCCACATGGCTTTTGGCATACTGCAGTCGACTCTTCTTATTCTTTGGAGACAGCAAGGGGGTACGCCTGGGAGTTCTGGCACGGAGGCCTTCATTACGCAGTGTGCGTCTTATTGTCTGGGCTGAAACTTCTGTACCCACATCTGACAAATCTTTTCTCAGTTCCTCAGCAGTCACACGGGGACTTCTCTCCACTCTACGCTTCAGGTAGCGCACAGCAGTCGAAGTCAGCATCTTCTTTCTGCCACGACCAGGTAGCGTTTCAACAGTGCCCTTTGCCTTGAATTTGCGAATGATGCTTCCTAAGGTGTCTCTTGGTATGTTTAACATCTTTGCAATCTTCTTATAGCCATTGCCCTTCCTGTGAAGAGAAATCACCTCTTCTCTTGTCTTCCTGGACCATTCTCTTGCCTTCACCATGTTTGTAACCACACCAGTAAATGTCTAGAAGGAGCTGAGTATCACAGTCATTTTAAAGCTGCCTAATTGGTGCTTATTATGCTTGATTGCTGCTCGGTGACATCCACAGGTGTTTTCAATACCTGATGGAAAGCACCTGTATGAACCTCTGTTCTTCAGAGTGGTAGTCTTTAAGGGGTTGAATAATTGTGGCAATGAAGAAACCACATAAGAACCATTTACTACTGTATTACATAAACAATTGATGTCATTTTAGTTGCATTTGGGTAGTTACAACGTCCTTGTAGGATTTGATTCTGAATACAATTCCAAATGTACACTATAGTC